TTTTTGAAAAAGTGATATTTTTTTAATAATAGGGATTGCTCAGATCATTGAAATTCTTCTAAAAATTTCATTACTGGAAATCTTGGAAGGATGGCTGTTTTTAAGTTGTATTTTTGAAAAAGTCCTGAAATTTCAGTTTCAGTAAAAAAAAAAAATATTCCATGAAACAATTTCCTTGTTATATAAAATTTTTTTATTGTTAGTGGATTTGTTTATTTTTTCTGTCAGCTGTTGTGCCTCATGAAACCTGAAACCATCTTAATTTCCACTGGTGGTATGTTTGAATACAAATAGCAGGAAAATTAAGTTTAATTATGTGGAGAGCCCTAGAATTTTTTTATTTTGTGCTCTTACACTATAAAGTGTGCCCCTTTTAACAATAAATAATTTCAATAAAATATTTTATTTCCTGCCCCTCCTGCCTACAGACCAATAATTTATATTATATTTAAGTTTGATGTATCATCTGGCTGTGTCAATATAAATGATGCATGCCGAAATTATGTGGTACCCATCCAGGCGATTGCAGACCCCCACCCCCTTTCCAAAATCTTAGATACACTACTGGTGAGGTTAGTATGATTGAATGTACCATTAGAAATACAGACCTGTTAAAATAATTCTTAATTTTAATTCTTGGGTTATGATGTGATGCAAAGGGACAATTTAGTTAGATTTAAAATTCCTCTTTGTAATTTGTATTGCTTGTATGATGCACAACCAAACCAAAAGTGAAACATGAATGATACACCAGATTGATACACAGTTGAATGTTTCAGATGGTTCATCTTCAGTAGAAAAATCACACATTGCTTCTCCAACAAATCTAAACAAACTCCACATAATCAAAAGCCATGAGGTTACCATTGGGTCTTTTAGTGTAGTCTTATTCCAAATCACATTCGTAGTAGCTAAAACATGTGTCAGAAGAAACTAAGAGAAGTGCTTAGACTACCATACAGTATTTTATCGTATTATGCTGAAGAATAGGATCCAGAGTGGTCAGTGTAGTATTAATACTTCACATTTGTTTGTGCAGGTGGTCAAAGCAACAAAAAAAATGGTAAACAGGGAGAATATTGGAAAATTAGTCTTAATACCTGTTAAGGAGAAAACTGATGGAGATCCCACCCCTCAAACGGTAGACTCGGCCGTTCTGAACCCAGAAGATTAGAAGTGAAAAGAGTACTTTAGGAAATACTGTTTTTCAGTATAATGTTTGGATCGGATTTTTTTCTTTGTCTTTTTTGCTCTGGTGATACTTAAGTTGGCATTTATGACATATATTCCTACGTGCATACAGTATATGTTATTACGTATTAAATAAATGTAACAATTATGTATATGTATAGTAAGAGAAACTACTCAAAATTTGTTTTATTGTTGTTGTTGGTTACAAAACTTATTTTACATTCCAAAGGTCAAACATTGACTTTACCAAAATTTAGTGATTTTTATTTTACTTGATGATAGATTACTTTCTATACAAATCCTAATGAAGTGGGCGGAAACATTGTGTTTCTATGATAAATGAAATAATCAAAACATATTCCGTCATACAAGTTAAACAATTAAATGTAACAAACTATTTTTTAAGGTTATGCATTACTCAGAATTTTTTAATGTTTTAACAAAAAAGCAACTATAACTATCTTTAATCAGCATTTACTGGAAATTTTAATAAAAACAATATGGATGATAGTAAAATTTCATATTTTTGGAATTAAAACTAATGTCTAAAATTCCACTAATCTTAAAAATATTACTATAATTTAGCTGATGGGAAGAATTAGAGCATCAAACTACTGACAGATTCGGTAACCCTACCTAGTTAAGCATTTTGAAAGTTGTTTGTATTATGGTTAAAATGTTTCATAAAACTTTTATGAAAATAGATGAGAAGTATTTTTCTTGTAGATGTTTATATATTTCGAGTTTTGTACAATGTTTGCTATTGTGATAATATTTTACACTTTTAAAGCAATTTTTCATTATTGTATTGACAAATGGAAAAATCATGCTTTAAGAATATGTTCGGGAAGAATCAATAAAGCATTATTAGTCTCAAAGTGCGTTCCATGTCATTGAATTTGAATATATTTGTTCTCATTGAAACCAGACGTTTACTAGTTTGTTCTTTTTTCTAATTGATCATCGGGAAGCACACTGGTTACTTTTGATTAAAATATGTTCATGGGAATTTCATCTACCAGCATAGAAACAACAAACGGAGACGGCTTGAATGGGTAATGAAGAAAACTTTCATATAAGTTTAACAAAACCTTGTCGAAACGTTGTACATTTGCTGTTATGTTAAACTTATATTAAAGTTTTTCTTCATTATCCATTCAAGCCGTCTCCAAGCAATATTAGCCTCAAAGTGGGTTCCTCGTCATCGAATCCATGATGAGCGTGCAGATGGTTCGCGAGTGAACAACCAAAGGGTGTTGCAGATAAACAGATATCAACGTATCTCAGTAGTTGATTTAGTCATCAACTTTATAGTTTTCGCTTCAATAATAATCAAAGTGTTAAAATTAATATAACATAACGTACCTTCTACAGATTTTACTAGTTTATTTATCGAAAAGGACTACTTCGTAATACTTTATAAGTAAGTTATTCAAGCTCAACGTGTCTCGTTAATTATAATGTAGTACAGTTTGACTTTACAGCTTACAAACACATATAAACATAATATTAGCTGTTCGTACAAGTAATTAGAGGACTGTTTTTACTAAAGCATTGAAAACCCTAGAAATTTACGTCTGAACCATATAAACTAAACGAATTATTTACTGTAGAACAATGTATAATTACTTAAGCATACTTTACTATTCTATAAATTAAGCTAAGTAACAACACCTACCATTTTAGTAATTACGATTTCTGTAGTACATTCACTTTAAGTTAACAAACATAATGTTTAGGGAAAACAAAATATTTGTTGGTCCATCTCAGCTGTCCCATCCTCAAAACTAAATCAAAATTATTAGATAAATAAATGTAAAAAACATCTGAATACAATACTTAAAATGTGGCCTAACCAGTGACCTATACAATGATATTATAATCTCTTCAGACTTGTATTCAATATTAAAATCCTATTTATTCTACCACTAGTAAAAACAACCTGATTGGATGGCTTAAGAGACTGATCAACCATTACACCAAAATCACTTTCTTCAATGACTCTGTT